CTTGTTGGCAATCACCGAGGTCAGACGTTTCTTGTAGTTGGCCACCAGGTTTGCACACATCTCAGGAGGGATTTTGTTCCACTCCTCTTTGCAGATCTTCTCCAAGTCATTAAGGTTTCGAGGCTGACGTTTGGCAACTCGAACCTTCAGCTCCCTCCACAGATTTTCTATGGGATTAAGGTCTGGAGACTGGCTAGGCCACTCCAGGACCTTAATGTGCTTCTTCTTGAGCCACTCCTTTGTTGCCTTGGCCGTGTGTTTTGGGTCATTGTCATGCTGGAATACCCATCCACGGCCCATTTTTTCAATGCCCTGGCTGAGGGAAGGAGGTTCTCACCCAAGAGTTGACGGTACATGGCCACGTCCATCGTTCCTTTGATGCGGTGAAGTTGTCCTGTCCCCTTAGCAGAAAAACACCCCCAAAGCATAATGTTTCCACCTCCATGTTTGACGGTGGGGATGGTGTTCTTGGGGTCATAGGCAGCATTCCTCCTCCTCCAAACACGGCGAGTTGAGTTGATGCCAAAGAGCTCAATTTTGGTCTCATCTGACCACAACACTTTCACCCAGTTCTCCTCTGAATCATTCAGATGTTCATTGGCAAACTTCAGACGGCCCTGTATATGTGCTTTCTTGAGCAGGGGGACCTTGCGAGCGCTGCAGGATTTCAGTCCTTCACGGCATAGTATGTTACCAATTGTTTTCTTGGTGACTATGGTTCCAGCTGCCTTGAGATCATTGACAAGATCCTCCCGTGTAGTTCTGGGCTGATTGCTCACCGTTCTCATGATCATTGCAACTCCACGAGGTGAGATCTTGCATGGAGCCCCAGGCCGAGGGAGATTGACAGTTCTTTTGTGTTTCTTCCATTTGCGAATAATCACACCAACTGTTGTCACCTTCTCACCAAGCTGCTTGGCGATGGTCTTGTAGCCCATTCCAGCCTTGTGTAGGTCTACAATCTTGTCCCTGACATCCTTGGAGAGCTCTTTGGTCTTGGCCATGGTGGAGAGTTTGGAATCTGATTGATTGATTGCTTCTGTGGACAGGTGTCTTTTATACAGGTAACAAACTGAGATTAGGAGCACTTCCTTTAAGAGTGTGCTCCTAATCTCAGCTCCTTACCTGTATAAAAGACACCTGGGAGCCAGAAATCTTTCTGATTGAGAGGGGGTCAAATACTTATTTCCCTCATTAAAATGCAAATCAATTTATAACATTTTTGACATGCGTTTTTCTGGATTTTTTTGTTGTTATTCTGTCTCTCACTGTTCAAATAAACCTACCATTAAAATTATAGACAGATAATTTCTTTATCAGTGGGCAAATGTACAAAATCAGCAGGGGATCAAATACTTTTTGTACCCTCACTGTACAAAGTCTCTTTGGGATCTTGGATGTCTTTGGCTATTGTAATTACTTTAGCATGATGATATGATCTCCATTACTTTATGGATTTGACTGACAATGAACAGACTGCCTCAAGGGCTGCCTTCTCCCTCTTCACATCTGTTTCCAATGAAACCACCACAAGGAGTCACTGAATGGGAATGCATCTGCTTCTGTCCTGTAATCAAGGCTCTGATCTCAGCTCCACCTAGTTTTTCCAAATGGAGAAACAGACATAGGAATAATATAACAATCCATTCTCAGTGCCCAGTGCAGTTTCACTGTGCCTGGCTTCCCAGATGCTGGTCTGTGGTGTGGCCAGCTACCTGGATCCCCAGTCTCCACACACAGCCAGGCCTGGCAAGCTAGGAGACCCTGGCAGACCCAGTCCACAGCATGTAGTCTGGGGGAGACCTCAGACCTGCTTAATAGCTCTCATCTCTAACCAGGCATTACCCCCTTTTGTTCCATACCTGTCTGGGTCTGTGGAGTGCGTGGACCCCCCCCCCCCCCCCCGGGCTCATGGTGGGGGAGGTGGACCATTCCATGTACCCTGCGGGGGTCGACTGGAAAGACTCAAGAGAGGGAGGGGTACAAAGCCAAACACCTGACCAGCATGTTTGCAAACAGCAAAGAGGGGGAGGAGGCCTGGGGTTTGGCCGTAACCAACAACACAAGCAGACATGAGTGCAGACAGACTGTCATCTCTGTTTACCCCTCTCCTGTCAGCTGGAGCATTTAGAGGTCAGTTTACCAAGAAGTACATGCCTCCGCTGGAACATATAAACACTGCTAACATCCTATGAGACCAAGTTCAAACAAGTTCAATCTAGACACAGCTTTCCAGGATGTCTGGCTACAATTGGTATACAGAGATGGGCTGAAATCAGAATGACACCAGCATTACTGTGCAAACCATCTGAAAAGCTCCTTTGATGAAGGCCCAAAGCAGAATGATTTGTGACATTCCCCTGGTACTGTAGATCACGATAAAAATGTCAGCTGCCAAGCATGATATTTGCTGATGTAGTGTGACCTTTTTGATAGTGAGTTCTGTGCCATGGGATGGGACCAGAAATCATGTGTGTGTGACATGTGATTGAGTGTTTGTGTACCCTGGGAGAGAAATGTGTGTGTGCAGTGAAATAAATGTGTTCACCCGGAAGAGAAGGGTATGTGTGTGTGTGTGTGTGTATGTCTGTCGCTGGGTCTGTCAGTGTTCGCATGCATGTGTGTGCGCACATGTGAGAGAAAGGAATATGTTTGTGTGTACTGTATGTGTGTGTGTGTGTTTGTGTGTACTGTATGTGTGTGAGTGTGTGTGTGTGTGTGTGTATTTGTGTGTGTGTGTATCTTATCAGGCAGAGCAGGCTGTGTGTACTACTGTACTGTATGCAGAGTGATGGTGGCTGTGCCTTGGCAGTGATCAATCACTGTGACTCATGCTTCATTAATGACTGGGTTTCTTATTGTATTGGCGGTGGCAGTGGTCACAGATGGCAGGAATATTACTCCACTACACTGTGCCTCTGCTTTCAATCAGGCTCTCCTCTCCTCTCTTCTGAATGAGACCCACTATGAGACTCACTCTTATCCTCTTTATGTCCCTTTGAATTTCTATCCTTCACACTGTCCCACTGGATTCCTCCTTGTTCTCCAGGAACAAGTGGTGCACTATGTTATAGTACTAAGTACAGAAAACCCAGGCTACTAACTTAGATTTCCTGTCTGTATTAAAACTAGGCCTATGACTCTGTTTTTCTGTGGAGAGATCTGACTGCTGGTTCACGGCTGGTTGGTTCTGCAGCAGCAGGCCCTTGGCAGGCAGGCAGCAGGGTGGGTGGGTGTTTGGCTGGTGTCTGCTCTAGTGTCCTCTAGCCTCCTGCTCCCCTGTGGTCTCACACATCACCCTTCCGCCATATGGAAACAGCTGGTCCTCTGTGGTGGGCACTGTGTGGTACCCTGAGCTCCCTACATGCCGCAGTCAGAAGGGAGAGTAGTGGAGGGAGAGATGTAAAGCAGAGAACCTATGGAGAGGGAAGCTGTGTTGGTGCTTCTTTTGGACAGATTTCAGTTGAATATATTATTATGCTAGTGATGCAAGTAACTGTTTAATGATCACTGATATAAGTGATTGTAATAATGGAAAACATTTCCCATGGGTTAGTAATGAGGGTTGCCCTCTAGGGATTGGAAGAGGTCACTACATAATCCAGGAAGTAGAAAAGGCCTTAGTTCCAATGACTGCCCTTATTCTACATGTGGAGAAGGACAGAGCAAGGAGAGGGATAGAGCTTGTTGGAGAAGGAGAGGAGTACGTCGTGGGCGGAGGAGGTGTAGAGTAGGAGAGTAGGAGAGTAGGAGACGGGGGTGGGTGGAAGGCAGTGGAGGAGTGCAATAAATGGAACAGAGTCAAACATGTGGTTTCCATATGCTTGATGTGTTTGATACTGTTCCATTCATTCCATTACAGCCATTACAATGAGCCTGTCCTCCTATAGCTCCTCCCACCAGCCTCCACTGGTGGAAGGATAGAGTAGAGTAGGAGAGGGTGTAGGGGTATAGAATGGTGGAAGCAGTCGGTCTCAAATGGTGTTGGGTCATTATCCTACACTCTTAGAAAAAAGTGTTCCGAAAGGGTTCTTTGGCTGTCCCCATAGGAGATTGTTCCAGGTAGAACCCTTTTAGGTTCTAGATAGCACCTTTTTCCCCTAAGTGTTGCCAGGGTGGGACTGTTACTATAAACACTCAAATAACTGTGCTACGTTCTGCTCCGGTGAAAAGCAGTCAAAAGAATGCAGCCTGGTTAAACGGCTCCACTCCCTTCCTCTCTGCCATGCTTCAGTCGTCTTAGGAGTTTTCTAATAGGAGTTGTGGCTTTAAACTGCAGTCCCTGACATCCCTTTGTGCCTCTAAATGAGGAGGTTTTCCTCTATAAAGGCAGGGCTGCTATTTGGGGTTGCTTTGGTGTTGGCTGTGTATGTTCCCCTGGGATTGGAAAAGAAGTAGTGGGTGAAAAACAGACAGATGACTGACTCAGACGGAGACTTCAAAGAGTTGTCGTGGAGGAATGGACCTCCTAGGTGAGCCGAGCTGCCAGTAGATCAGCTTCAAAGAGCACTGTGCCATCGTCAGTCCCCACGGTGACACTGGGAACACAGAACAAAGTCACAGGGACAGACCCGCCCCCCTGTCTGATCCTCTGTGTCCCACCCCCCTGGGCCTCCGTAGGGGGAGAGGGAGGCTTTTGAGCAATCATCTGGAACCTGGGAGTGAAAGGAGGGGAGTGGTGGCTGGTTAGTCAACCAGGATATGGCTTCAATGGAGCCACCCACTATCCATGCAGTCAGTCAAACTACACCCAGTCACTACTGCAAATGTCACTATTGTTTGTCTGTACCATTCCTCCTAAACCACAAAGTCCTAGAGGGATAATGAGATCCAGTCCTGAATGTGCTCTCATGCTCGCTGATCCTTGATTAGACTTGCAGATAGAGTTTGCTGAGGGGATTTCCAGTGAAATGTCATCAGAATGAGTCTTTGAAACCAGAGGGACAATATCATCCTTAGTCCAAGTACACATTGCTCATTGAATGATTGAGCTAGTGAATGCCAACCAGCCCACCTTACAGTCAAAAGACAATCATTACTGTACCATGTATTTCTGTAACTTACCATTTCTATGTCTTTTACAGCAAAGAGCCTCTGGCAAGGTGGTGTTTGACCTGGTGTGTACTCACCTGAACCTCGTTGAAGGGGACTACTTCAGCCTAGAGTACCAAGACCACAACAAGATGATGGTGAGTGAAGAAAAAAAAACAGTACAACAGGTTGTTTCTGGACTAGGTGTTAGGTTGTTGCTGGACTGGGCGTTAGGTTGTTGCTGGACTGGGCGTTAGGTTGTTGCTGGACTGGGCGTTAGGTTGTTTCTGGACTGGGCGTTAGGTTGTTTCTGGGCTGGGCGTTAGGTTGTTTCTGGGCTGGGCGTTAGGTTGTTGCTGGACTGGGCGTTAGGTTGTTGCTGGACTGGGCGTTAGGTTGTTGCTGGACTGGGCGTTAGGTTGTTTCTGGACTGGGCGTTAGGTTGTTGCTGGACTGGGCGTTAGGTTGTTGCTGGACTGGGCGTTAGGTTGTTTCTGGGCTGGGCGTTAGGTTGTTGCTGGACTGGGCGTTAGGTTGTTTCTGGACTGGGCGTTAGGTTGTTTCTGGACTGGGCGTTAGGTTGTTGCTGGGCTGGGCGTTAGGTTGTTGCTGGACTGGGCGTTAGGTTGTTTCTGGGCTGGGCGTTAGGTTGTTTCTGGGCTGGGCGTTAGGTTGTTGCTGGACTGGGCGTTAGGTTGTTGCTGGACTGGGCGTTAGGTTGTTTCTGGACTGGGCGTTAGGTTGTTGCTGGACTGGGCGTTAGGTTGTTGCTGGACTGGGCGTTAGGTTGTTGCTGAACTGGGCGTTAGGTTGTTGCTGGACTGGGCGTTAGGTTGTTGCTGGACTGGGCGTTAGGTTGTTGCTGGACTGGGCGTTAGGTTGTTGCTGGACTGGGCGTTAGGTTGTTGCTGGACTGGGCGTTAGGTTGTTTCTGGACTTGGCGTTAGGTTGTTGCTGGACTGGGCGTTAGGTTGTTGCTGGACTGGGCGTTAGGTTGTTGCTGGACTGGGCGTTATGGTTGTTTCTGGACTGGGCGTTAGGTTGTTGCTGGACTGGGCGTTAGGTTGTTTCTGGACTGGGCGTTAGGTTGTTGCTGGACTGGGCGTTAGGTTGTTGCTGGACTGGGCGTTAGGTTGTTGCTGGACTGGGCGTTAGGTTGTTGCTGGACTGGGCGTTAGGTTGTTTCTTCTTTATGTCTGTGTAGAAGCCTTAAATTCATATCTCTATACTGACTAAGGGATGTTTGTTTTCCTTCTGTTCACAGGTTTGGCTAGACCTCCTTAAGCCTATAGTCAAGCAGCTGAGACGTAAGTACCCTGACTTCATTACATGCTTTTACACAGCTGGCAATGGACAGTTCACAGTCTTAATTTGGTTCAACAAACACTTGTTGTTGTTGTTGCTGCTAACAGAAGAAAATGAATCAAGCCAAAACATGGAAACATTGAATGTCTTTGAAAGAAGGAGACCGCTAGGAGATTTAATTTAGTTGTGGCATCTCAACACCATGTCTCATCTGAGCAAACGTAATCACACACAGAGACCATCTTTCTTCCAGTCGGAGGCTCTGGTGTTAAACTTTTACATCTCCAGTCATAAAACTTTCATCAAGTCTTATAAAAGACTGGTTTGCTCATCTACCAAAATGGGTATGTGATGAAATCTGTGTATCTGTGTGAGATAACCCAGATTCAGGTCAAAGTGAAATAGAGTATAGGAAGGAATCATAGAGATCCTATTCTAATTCCTAATTCTATGATAGGAATCTCCTTATTTAGAATGTATAGTCTATATTGTCTTGGCTGTGACTCTTCTTATATAACCATGCCATCATCTCACACCCACAGGGCCCAAGCACACAGTCCTGAGATTTGTGGTGAAGTTTTTCCCCCCTGACCACACCCAACTACAGGAGGAACTGACTAGGTAAGACTAAACAGGAAGAAGCATATTAAACAACATACCAACCGCCATTTCAGAGAAACCTTCAGTCTACAAACCTCAGCTATAAGATTTTCTCATCTACAGGTGCTTAATAATTGGAATTTTTATTCCGCTGACAAGCTGTCAGTGCATGAAGTCGTATAAGGCTGACTGCACAGCACACAGCAGGCTATCAGCAGCCATATTATCCAGTCTTTCCATTAGAGTAAGTCATTCTCAGGTCAGGTCTGTGTGTGGAAATTACTGCGATGTCACAGAATATAACTGCTAATGCAGAAGTGACTAATGTGTTCCAGCCTCCCAACAGATTTATTTGGCGTCCATGTTTTACGCCTGCCAGGTTTTTAATGTAGCACCTTCAAATGGTCCTGGTTATTACCATTGGACTAATGTTTTTCTGATGTATATTTTCTCATTATATGATAATGCCTTGACCCTATAGAAGGTTACAGTTGATATTGGATGGGTAACTAAGATAAGATTATTGCTCTGCAATCCAATTATCTTTGTTAAATGCATTTTTTAGGATTGTACTGTACACCCCTATGATGCAATCGTAAAGGGTCAGTCAACAGTTAGTAATTCTGGGTGTGGTGACATTTGTGTGCCAGGAAGCTGTCTTTTTGAACCTGTTGTATTATAGATTGTGTTTGGCAAGCTGGGATCACCTCCAAGTGGTTCCTTTGAGGTTGCTCCCTCCTGCGTTGTCGTCTGACAGGTTTTGACGTTAACCACACATAGCCATTCATCCTGTTAACTCTGTTCTAACCTGTCTCTGTGTCCCGTTTTGTCCAGGTACCTCTTCGCCCTGCAGATCAAGCATGACCTTGCCTGTGGACGTCTGACCTGCAACGACAGTAGCGCCGCCCTGCTGGTCTCCCATATTATCCAGTGTACGTCTTCTGTTACTATATGTCTTAGTGGATCCCAGGGTCAATAGAGCAGATAGATGTGTAGGAAAACATGTTGTGTTGCTCATGGCGTCTTCAAACTGTCAAACAGGATGTGGTGCAGCATCCCAAATTGAGAATCAGTGTGTTGCCATGGATACCTTTTTAGTCTTCGTCTGAATGAAATCTGGAAAGACGGACGGCTTCAGAATAACCAAACATGTCAGTACCAGAAACACACTGAGAGTCTTTTGAAAAGCCATCCGTTCCTCAGCCTGCCGGGATTCTAATGCTAGAGGGAGCTGTCAAAGTGTGATCAAAGAGGGAAGAGACACAGATGAGGATGTATTCTATTCGATTGAATCTATTCTAATCTATTCTATTTAGGGCGAATAATCCAAATTGTTATCAACCTGCGGTCTTGTAGATACATTTACACAACATCTGTAGTTCTACACAATGTAATACAGTGGCATAACATTAACCCTTTGTCCTCCAGCTGAGATTGGGGACTTTGAGGAGAGCCAGAGTCGGCAGCACCTCCTCAACAACAACTACATTCCAGAACAGATGGCTCTGATCGACAAGATCATGGAGTTCCATTCCAAGAATGTGTGAGTAACTCCTCTAACTGGTTGGTCTGCACTAGAAGCAGAGCGATGTGTAGGCATTATTCCGGTCCACTCTGAACAGGAAAAGATAGTAAAATACCTTATACTTACACGTCCCAAGGCAATGTTTTATACCCAGATGACACAGTCAGGAAACTCTGAATGAATAGTGTGCTTTGTTCCAGTGTGTTAACTGACATGGCATTCTTCATCATGTTTAGACAAGGCAAAGCCCCCTGGGCTGGTTGAGTGGTTAAGGCCTGGAGGTGAATGTGTGAATGTCTGCTTTATTAGCAACCCTGCTTGGGTCCCCAGAAAAGGTCTGGAATCTACCTGGATCACAGCCTAATGAGCAACACACCACCCCAGACTTCAGCATGGAAAACCGCTAACGACTTTGGATTTCCATTGTTATATCTCCTGTCTAGTCAGTTGACAGGTTGGCACAAGGGAAACGGTTGCTTGAACTCACTCACTGTAGCTTCTCCTACTCCCAATATGTTTTTCCTATAATCTGTTTCCTAATTGGATAGTTCTGTACTCCTGGGAGAACACACGGTGGAAGGCTTCCATATCCCACAATCCCCTCAGTGTCCCCCTCATCGTTGCAGCTGGCTGGCTCTGAACATGTGTCAGGAGGACATGGCCGACCCTTCCCTCACCCCCAGTCCTCCACACTACACTGGTGTCACTGCAGAGATGGGAGATCACCAGGCAGCTGACAAGATGAAAGGAGCTCCGTTAGATTTGACTGCCCTCCCTGACTTGTTCTTTTTTTCTGTCTTTTCAGCTGATAACACTAACCACAGTTCTCCTGGCAGGGAGCCATGCCCAGAGTTAAATCTCTAATTAACTAAAGCACAGAGGAAACAGGAAAGCTTTTTCACAGATAAGAAGTAGGGAAGTGAGTTACTATGCAACTTTGTTTCTACCCAGACCTTGGTGGTGTGTGGTGTCAGCTGAATGTGGGAACACAGATTGGCTTGTGGCTTGGTCTCTCACCTCAATTACAGAACATATAGGAATATGTAGTTGAGTGATAGATATTATTCCTATTTAAAGTACAGTTCTTGGTTTAGAGCAGCCAGGTTCAGAAGCCCAAAATGGAAGTAAAATATAACTGTTTGTGGACCCCTGGAATTCTGACGCATCCCACCTCAACTCCACCTTGCCGTGATTGTGAAACTTATAAGAGACTTGTGTGAGACTGCGTCCCACATGGCACCCAATTCCCTATTTAGTGCACTGCTTTTGACCAGGGCTGTGGGCACTATAAAGGGAATAGAGTATCATTTGGGACGCAGTCTCACACAAGTTGGAGGCCTATGAGACTTACATGAGACTTGACCCAGACTGCTGTCCGTGTGCTTGTAGGGGTCAGACGCCAGCAGAGTCAGACTACCAGCTGCTGGAGGTGGCACGCAGACTGGAGCTGTATGGGGTGAGACTGCATCCTGCCAAGGACCGCGAGGGCAGCAAGCTGAGCCTGGCTGTGGCACACACTGGTGTCCTGGTCTTTCAGGTGACTGATACTACTTTACAGGTCAACACAGAGTAGAGGTGGATGGAGTAAGAGGATTTGTAGACTGCTGTTTATAATTAGAAACTTACCGGATGTTTGATCATATGTTTGATGTGGATGGTGTAATAGCAAATTTGTAGTTTAAATGATTAACCAGCTTAGGTATGCTACCATGTAACACACTTGATTACAGCTGTTCCGCTTTTCAATTGCACTTTGAAGTGGCATTGAGATGACAGGCTTTTGACATGTGACAGTTTCTCTGTTCACAAATCTATTGGGATTAAGAGCTAGCTAGTTCTATTTGAGGAATGTGGAGCTGATGTTTGATGACAGGATTAGGAAGATGAACAGGCTGATTTTTATTGCATGTCACACGCCATGTTAAACCATTGTATGTACTTATAAATCGGCTGCAGGGACACACCAAGATCAATGCCTTCAACTGGTCCAAAGTGCGCAAATTGAGCTTCAAAAGGAAGCGGTTTCTCATCAAGCTCAGACCCGACCTGAACGTAAGTCATATGGCCATAGACGATAATAATTTTAAATAATAATCATTATCGATGCCTATGGGCATTCAGCCCTGAGTTTCCATTGACGTGTGTTACGTCTATATCTGTCCTCCCCTGCAGCAGAGCTCTTACCAGGACACTCTGGAGTTCCTGATGGGTAGCCGGGACTGCTGTAAAGTCTTCTGGAAGATCTGTGTGGAATACCATGCCTTCTTCCGCCTTTTCGAGGAGCCCAAACCCAAGCCCAAGCCTGTCCTCTTCACCCGAGGCTCCTCCTTCAGATTCAGGTAGACAAGCTGGCCCCTCGAGGGCCCCTGGGGCCACACAATAATAAAACAGTCTCTCGGGCTACAGGATTTAGCAGGTTTGATGAAGAACCAGTCAGTGCCTCAGTCTGAATCTCATTTCTTAACTATCACCCGGACAGAGCTGCTCCAGCTCTGCTGTAAGTTCACTGACCTCAATCATCTCCCTTGCTACCTTTCTCACTGCAGCGGTCGGACCCAGAAGCAGGTGATTGATTACGTGAAGGATTCTGAGTTTAAGAAGATTCCGTTTGAAAGGTAAAGACTTAGGGCTCTATTTTTGGCTAACATTAAGACAGCACAATTGTCAATTCTTCTATTTTCAAACCCTAGTGCCAGGATTGGTAATTTACTTGTCTAATATGAGCTCGCTTGCGCTGATGTGGGATGGGTGGCAATATCTGAGGTGTGTCCTTAAAAACGTGCGACGAAGTACCAATTTCAGTATGCGCCGGTGGGGTTATTTAAGAAAAAAATTATACAAAATTATTGCAACCAATAGAATGTTATATATGTGGGGGATACAACCATCCCAGCTCTGCAGATTTTACTGCGAAGAGACAGAATCATTAGATCATTTGTTATGAAACTGTCCATTTGTAGCTTGTTTTTGGTCGCAGGTAAAGGAATGGCTGAAGAATTGCAACATTTACCTGGAGTTAACTCTGCAAATAGCACTGCTGGGTGATCTGAAAAGTCATAGTCAATTGATCAATAATATAATAATACTTTAATTTACAATCTGTAGAAACTATGAGAATAGAAAGGTTCAGAACTTTTGTGAAACATCACAGCACAGGTGAAAAATATATGGCAAATAGAAGACTGGATAGTGTTCAGAGATAGATGGGTGGAACTAAAAAAGGGTGGAACTAAAAACGTAAAATGTATAAAGTGTATATATAAGCTGGAAGTAGAAGCCTAAGTGTTGTTGTCCATTAGTTTACTCCAATTAGGGGAGGGGTGATAGGGTTAGGGGGAAATAATAAATAAAATAAAAATTGTATATATTTATTTAAAAATATATATATTAAAAAAAAATTATATATATATATATATATGGGGGATTGGAAATCATGCAGACAATTACATCGATAGAAGCCGCAATCTATTTGCAATGTTAAAGCTGATCAATTATTAGCCAAGGAACCTATTCATCAAAGTTTTCTAAATGGTCTACTTGTGAGACTTTTGCTGGAGAAATGCGACGCGTAAAGACCTATACAGTGAGGGGAAAAAAGTATTTGATCCCCTGCTGATTTTGTATGTTTGCCCACTGACAAAGACATGATCAGTCTATAATTTTAATGGTAGGTTTATTTGAACAGTGAGAGACAGAATAACAACAAAAAAATCCAGAAAAACGCATGTCACAAATGTTATAAATTGATTTGCATTTTAATGAGGGAAATAAGTATTTGACCCCTCTGCAAAACATGACTTAGTACTTGGTGGCAAAACCCTTGTTGGCAATCACAAAGGTCAGACGTTTCTTGTAGTTGGCCACCAGGTTTGCACACATCTCAGGAGGGATTTTGTCCCACTCCTCTTTGCAGATCTTCTGCAAGTCATTAAGGTTTCGAGGCTGACGTTTGGCAACTGAAACCTTCAGCTCCCTCCACAGATTTTCTATGGGATTAAGGTCTGGAGACTGGCTAGGCCACTCCAGGACCTTAATGTGCTTCTTCTTGAGCCACTCCTTTGTTGCCTTGGCCGTGTGTTTTGGGTAATTGTCATGCTGGAATACCCATCCACGACCCATTTTCAATGCCCTGGCTGAGGGAAGGAGGTTCTCACCCAAGATTTGACGGTACATGGGCCACGTCCATCGTCCCTTTGATGCGGTGAAGTTCTCCTGTCCCCTTAGCAGAAAAACACCCTAAAGCATAATGTTTCCACCTCCATGTTTGACGGTGGGGATGGTGTTCTTGGGGTCATAGGCAGCATTCCTCCTCCTCCAAACATGGCGAGTTGAGTTGATGCCAAAGAGCTCGATTTTGGTCTCATCTGACCACAACACTTTCACCCAGTTCTCCTCTGAATCATTCAGATGTTCATTGGCAAACTTCAGAAGGGCCTGTATATGTGCTTTCTTGAGCAGGGGGATCTTGCGGGCGCTGCAGGATTTCAGTCCTTCACGGCGTAGTGTGTTACCAATTGTTTTCTTGGTGACTATGGTCCCAGCTGCCTTGAGATCATTGACAAGATCCTCCCGTGTAGTTCTGGGCTGATTCCTCACCGTTCTCATGATCATTGCAACTCCACGAGGTGAGATCTTTAATGGAGCCCCAGGCCGAGGGAGATTGACAGTTCTTTTGTGTTTCTTCCATTTGCGAATAATCGCACCAACTGTTTTCACCTTCTCACCAAGCTGCTTGGCGATGGTCTTGTAGCCAAATTCCAGCCTTGTGTAGGTCTACAATCTTGTCTCTGACATCCTTTGAGAGCTCTTTGGTCTTGGCCATGGTGGAGAGTTTTGAATCTGATTGATTGATTGCTTCTGTGGACAGGTGTCTTTTATACAGGTAACAAGCTGAGATTAGGAGCACTCCCTTTAAGAGTGTGCTCCTAATCTCAGCTCGTTACCTGTATAAAAGACACCTGGGAGCCAGAAATCCTTCTGATTGAGAGGGGGTCAAATACTTATTTCCCTCATTTAAAATGCAAATCAATTTATAACATTTTTGACATGCGTTTTTCAGGATTTTGTTGTTGTTATTCTGTCTCTCACTGTTCAAATAAACCTACCATTAAAATTATAGACAATTTTTTTGTCAGTGGGCAAACGTACAAAATCAGCAGGGGATCAAATACTTTTTTCCCTCACTGTACTAGTTGAAGCCAATTACAATGTTGACTGTTAACATTCCAAACCTATTGAGCAAACACTGGATGTTTTTTTTTTTACTGTTGCTATCAATTGTTACTGTAGCCTATGCTATTTAATATACTGTAGTATCAATCCACAATTGACTAGGATGAGAATATTCCATGCCCCCAGCCGGATTAAGACCGTCAATAACCTACAGAACTTAAAGCAACTGCATGCAGTATTAAGATATGGAATGCCTTGATTGGCCAGTGAGTGGCAAAGCCCTCATCAGACTTACAACTTGTTTATTCATCAAAACCCAGCCCTTTCGCACTACCGCCAGCTATTGCGCTCATAATAACAGCTGTGAAAATAGCAAAAATATTTCGGACACACCCCCGGACCTACATGTACAGCACTACCACCAGCACTTAGATTGACCTTTGGTTTGTTAAAATAGAGCCCTTAATGTTGGTGTTTTATATCTAGTTATACAGAGACCGGCTGTGCGAAGGTTTTCCAGGTGTATAACATGTTCACTTTCTGTCACCCTGTCTCCTCTTCAGGAAACACAGTAGGGTCCAGCACAGCAGCAGCCGCCTCTCTCCACTGCCTTCCCCGCACCGCCCTCAAGTGCCAAAAGAAGTCAGTGTCTCCTTAGAGGCTAGTGTGCTATATGGCACTTTGTGGAACTGTCTGTATCTATCTGACAGCTAACCCAGCATGTTTTCATATAGGACGATTAGAACATTAAATATAGTGCCTAGAACAGTGTTAATAATTGAGTACAATGAATAACTAACTAATCCATAACACAAAAACTCAATTTCCTTTTTTAACTGTTAAATATAACCTTTATCCCTCTTTCTCTCTCCTCTCTCCTCTCTCCTCTCCTCTCCGTACTCCACAGAGTGTGAGCCGTGCTCCAGGAGACGTAGTGGGAGTGGACTCTCCTCCCCACCGTCACTGGAAGGAGTCCGTGTTGGTGAGCGCTGAAGACCCATCGGCCCTGCGGACCAGAGGCAGCCCCTCCAGCCAGAGGAATGGGGCACACAGCGAGGACAGGCCAGGCCCCGGGGCAGAACCAGGCCCAGCCAGGCAGCCCCACCCAGAACATCTGAACACAGGTCCAGCCTCCCGGGGCGCTAAGGGCAGCAGCTCCTCCATCCCCTACATTGACTGCAGTGATATAGATAGTGAATACGACGTGGCCAAGGGCCGGGTTACCAGGTGTCACCCTAATGACAGCTATGGGGATGAGGTGGCGGGCCCCCGCCGTGGCAGTATAAACGATCGGGAACTGGTTCTGGGTAGGATGAGGTACATGGAGTCCCCTCCCTCCCCTAAACCCCCCCTCAATATGAGCCGGGCATTAGATGAGTCGGCCAACCTGTCGTTCTTCGGCGGTGGTCCGCCCCGTGGCCCCATCCATAGCACTATGATGGAGGAGTTGGGGGGTCGTGGTATTGGGGACCAGCGTAGCAGCAGCCCCCTGATGGTCCGCCATATGTTAGGCTCTAAGAGCACCACATCAAGCCCCGTTATGAGCACCTTCCACCGGACAGGTTCGCTCAGCCACACCGAGCAGAACGGCTATGGCTCCCGGCCCCCGCGCTGGGACGACCCGGGTCATGGGGGCTTTAATGCCCCGGGGGGCCCTGGGGGCCCCCGAGATGAGGGCCAGGCCCCTTCCCACTATGGCAGCTACTCGCCCATCATGGCCCGCTCGCCACACTTACAGAAGCTCCACAACATGCGTAACCGCTCTGACACTGACCCCTTCGTCCTGAGCCAGCAGCAGGCCACCTCCACGCCCTCCCACGATCCCCGACCTGTCATCTCCCGCAAAGAGCGCATGGCTGCTCTGGAGCGCCGCATGATGGCCAATGGCCTGTCTGCCCCCGGCCAGCCCAAGCCCAGTCCCTTACAGAAGCTGTACAGCCGGGGTGGTGTAGACCACGTAGGGGCTGTTCAAATGATTGACGGCTCCACCAGCAGTGGCACAGAGTCCAGTGACTCGGAGACCGAGACCACCACAGGCAGCTCCAGCAGCCACCCGCTGACCTATGGTAACCCCATGGCCATGGGGGTCAACTCCTCCCCCATGCCCAGGAACAAATACTCCTTCGGTAGCCTCCAGCTGGATGAGGAATTGGAGGAGGATGGCTGCCTTAATTTTAGTGACGAGGATGGGGCTCAGGTGTTCAGCTGTTAGGCTAGCCTAGAGTAAAAAAGTCCAGAGACCTGCCTTGTAGGCAGGGTGACTTTGGGTCTGAGAGGAGATGGGATGGTTAGCGTGGTAGATGGTGATAGTATGCTTAACCATGAGCCAGCCTGACAGTCTGTTTCCCACTGGGTTGCTCTGCCCTTTAACTGAGGCAGAGAGGGATGAAGGCTCTCTCTGTTCTCTTCCACCCTTAGGGGGTTAACCTTTCATGTCTTCTCGGATTGTATTGGTGTCTCTGCACACACCAGGTGGTTCTCAATTAGAGATATGATTGTTTTCTAGTGCCAAGTCCTTTGAACAAACACTGCATGAATGAATGCAGTGGTCGGTGAGGGTTGCAAACACCCTGATGCTCTGTTGTAGCTGAACATTTGGGATGAAGTCGAGGGAATATTGTTTCACACTCCGTCTACAATAATGCATTGTAGGGTTTATTGATTGTCGGAGGGTTCCAATGCTCTGTCTAATGCCGTCATGTGTCTTCATATAACACAGGGATGGGCAACTCCAGTCCTCGGGGGCCTGATTGGTGTCACACTTTTGCCCCAGCCCCAGCTAACATATCTGACTCCAATAATCAACTAATCATGATCTTCAGTTTAGAATGCAATTAGTTTAATCAGCTGTGTTTGCTAGGAATGGGGAGAAAAGTGCGACACCACTCCAGCCCGAGGACTGGAGTTGCCCATCGCTGATATAACATATCCATTCTGTAAATTGACAATATGTTGTGATTTGGATAGCATGTCGATGGGGGAGTTGGTCTACGTTTTATACAGTACTGTATATGCACTTGTATTGCTTTTGTAATCGTTATGATCATATCTGTAGACTTTTGTGAAAAATTGGTTGGTGTTGAATATACTGTATCTAGAAATAGAGGAGACAGACAGGCAGTTTCCTGTAATGTTCTATGTTAATGTTCTATGTCTATGTGATTAATTGTTGATATTTAGGGAGTTGCTTAGGAGAACACAAGAGTATTGAGTATACATGCATGTACTGTACATGCGGTCGGTATCTAATTGTTGTCCATAGTGATAGAAGTAGGTCATGTCTTTGTTGGGTGCTGAGAAGGCTTCCAGTTCGTCTGCAGCACGTCCCAACTCCTGATTTTGATATTCAATATGTTTACAGTAACCTGTCTTCTGTACAAATGATCAACGGATTGAAATTCAACTAACTACTGTTGACTGGTGTTAGAAATAGGCAAACAGAGCCACAATCATTTTTCATAGACATAGTTTGTTCTGGGGAACATCCGTTTAATGAAGAAACGTTATTTAAAAGACTTGACATACCAGCAGATATCCATACCCAGTTAGTACTATTGGACAGTGCTAGTACTAGTTGTCCAGAAAAGCAGTTGACTGGTTTTAGGCATGTTTTTATTAGACCTAAGAGAGAGTGTGTGAGAGAGACCTCTGTGAAAGTGATACAGGTGTTGTGATGCAGGTATAATATGGCTCTGATGCCCACTGTTGGCATCTCTTCTTCTCCTTGTCTACCTAAACATCTCTTGTAAGCGTTCATTCTCTATTGTTCAGCAAACTCCAGGGGTCTACTTATCTCACTGATTTGTTCTTTTCCCCCAGCATTGCAAAGTTCCCTAACAAAATTACTCTGCACTTTTGTGTTTATTTGTTATTTGTTTTCTTGCTGTCCCCGATTTTCTTTCTTTTGCTTCATTCTCCTTGTCTTTTGTTGGCATTTCTTTGCGGTGTATTATTTTGATTAAGGATTTATTGACCTTATATCACAATGCTTTTTTTTTCTTCAAATTTCCTTGTCCAATTGAAACACTGTTCTGTCAGCATGCAACACTTACGGGGTTAAGTCTCACCTTACCTCTATGTTCCTGCTCTGGAAGCATGTTAACCTGTTCCTGTACTGTCCTGATGTTTTGCTGTTCTGTAACTGACTGTGTAAAAAGAAAAGGGGTTAAACTGGGTCTCCTTTACTGCAGTGGTCCCGGTAACTGTCAGCAGAGCGTACAGAGGACTAGAATATAGGACTGGAGAATTGAGAAATTACTTTGTTCAGGATGACAGGAACCAGGGAATAAGCAGGGAACATGGAGGCAGGTTTCAGTATGTGCTGCATGTTATGTGTCTGAAAGGCAATTTAAGGGAAGCGTCTCAAAGTCTCTCAGCTCATCCATCAATGCCATGGGCTTCTGTTAGTGTAGGCTCTTTGAGACGCTTTTAACTTGGACTTTATCCCTGTGTATATAGTATTTATTATCTATCGTGTCATTTTATGATATTGGTCCTATTTATTAACATGGTCCAAAATTAATATAAACTGCAACTTACCCGATTTATTGATGACTTCCAGGTTAAGTGTGAGAGGGAACAGTATGAGAGTAGTGTTGGTCACTGGATCACTGCAGGCAAAGAGAACCCTGTCAGGTACACCAAGCACTGTCTTATGGATCTGTGGTGTTGGGCTGTTGCACACAACTGATATTTTGAGTCATGATCTGTATTAGATACTAACACATTCACTATACCTAATCTATAGTAATATATTGTGTGCCAGTCTTAAACGCATGGCTCTATAGGCCAGGCTTGTGTGTGCTAGTCTCAACCGCGCTTGGTTCCATTGCATGTCCAAGAAGCTAACCCAGGGCTCAGGCATGATGTTGATGCTTTCTTGCCCTGGCTGTTTCTCTATGTATGTACCCTCACCTCACTCTCTCACTCCTACTTACTGGAACATTTCACCAGGCAGATATCACTCACATCAGACAAGACAGTAGCACTTTCAGCAGCAGGGTATGATTTGATCCATCTGAGACTGCTATTTGCATTACGTTGATGATTACTGCTCACCCATTAAACTTAGATTAAAGTTCAATTTTACAACGAGTAGACACAAAATGCACTTCTTCTGCAGATTGTGCTACTCCTACGATTGACAGAATTGATTTGTATAATATAGCTTGAGTGTACAATCGGTATGCTCCCTCTAAAGCAACTGATTTTAACAAAAATATATTAATAAAGTGATATCAGTAGTAATACTGCAATAGAGAGATTATTCATGGAGGACTTTGTGCTTTGTGACAACTACAGTACTATGAGACCCAGAATATGCTAGTTATAAATTCCGACTTTACTTGCTGCTCTTTCCCTATCTCTCTCTCTCTCTCACTCACTCACACTCTCTCTTACTCACTTCCATAACACTTTGTTTGCTACGGTCGCGTGTTGATGTTCCTTTGACACTCACTGGGCTCTGATACCGATTTTACCAGCTCTTCTCTTTCCGAGAGACTTTCTACACTTTTTAACATTGTATACAGTTGTGCACTAGTGTCAATAAAGTTGACCTTTATGAAGTGGGACTCCAGAATCTTCTTTTATAAAGACCCTCGACATTGTCTCGTGACCGTTTTAGATGCTAGTCCCCTCCTCATCCTCCTGTCGTGTCGTAGATGTAGCATAGCTCTGTTAAATGTCTGTATGTATATGTGCTATATACACTCATTTGTGTGTGTCTCGTGGCTGTGTTTATGTAGTGCGTGTTTGGTATTCCGTGGTGCTTGTTGTCACAGCTGTCCCCTCCATTGTAGAATGTAGTATCATGGTGTCTATCAGATGTTCACCGGAGATGTTGCTGGTTTAATCATTGTTCTGTTCATGCCAACGTGGTGCTATCAGAGGACAGGAGGCAGTAGTGGGCAAGTATGCAATCAAGTGTCCCTAGTGAACATCCTAGTGGCAGTGTAGTTGATTTAGGTAAGCGATTCCACTCAATCATAATACTGTTTTCAACCCAACAGCAGCATAATCCTGATGGTATAATGCTGAAATGGCAGACATTACAGAGAGAGAAGAGCACTAGAGATGTCTGGGCAGCAGAGTGAGTCATAGGTGACTCTTGTCTGGATGCATGTAGCTACAGTAACTAGCTACAGGCCAGGCACATCCCCCATTAGCTCTCATTATTATCCCTGGGACATGCTGAAAGATATTTATGGCTGTAATTTAACTTTTTCATCTCTAACTCTCTTTTTATTTTCTCATCCACTTCTCCATCGCTACACAGGAGTGGTGTCCAACAGCCCTCATCTCTCCGCCTCCTCCGGTAACTCCCAGGGCATGGTCAATGGTCAGAAGCCGGTCGAGCTCTGTGGTCACAGTCCGGACGGTCGGCAGCCCTCCCCCCTCACCAGCCCCCTGCTCAACGACGCCGGAAGCGTGCGCACCGACGATGAAGACGAGGTTCGGAGGAAGGTTTGTGGTCCAGAGAGGGCCCCCTGTAAAAGGATTATAACTAGAGAGGGATTGTTGTCATTTGCTGTGTGGACGTCATTGTGGTTTCTCCAGTTAACATAACCAGCTTCCAAGAGGCTACAATCACATAGTCCCTAAAATAGCAGAGGACCCAGATTACCTGGCCTAAATAACTATCCACAGGGACCAGTGCTGTGAAGACTGTACAAAATATGATGTACTGTAAATGGGCTACATGTCTTAACACTGGAATTGATTACACAAAATGTGGAAAAATACCCAAGACACAGTCTACAGCTTACTGTATTAATAGTGTTGTCTCTGCTCAGATAAAACACTCTGTCCTCTTCCTTTCACAGAGGTTCCCTACCGACAAGGCCTACTTTATTGCCAAGGAGCTGCTGACCACAGAAAGGACCTATCTGAAGGACCTGGAGGTCGTGACTGTGGTAAGGCCCATCACCAGATAGATTCCTCCGCTCTTTCAGGGACTCAACACTGCTCTTTTGTTTACTTTCTCCCATGCTGTCCTCCGGGCAGAAAACATTGATTATTCCGGCTAGCTGCTTTACAACAGAGCATACGGCAAACACACAGGGAGCCATGCAGTGGTTGTGGGGGTGGGAGATGTTTTTTGGCAGGTGGGAAAATACTCTGAGAATGCTATGAAATGTATTAATCTGTTTATCTCACCCAAGGCTGTGAATGTGAATGTGCAATGAGATCCACAGCCTTGAATGTCCCTGCTTAATGTTGGGCTGTCATCCTATTTTAGTCATTTCATTTTGGCTCCCACTCTCTCAAGGGAGATGCTGATATTAAAAGAAAGGGACATCTCCTTCCAGTATATTGCAATCAGTGAAGGAAGTTGCCGTGAGTGTAGGTTTCAAGTTTTATTAGTCCTATGTACGGGATACACATGGTATACACCGTCCAACGAAATGCTTACTTGCAGGTTCCTTCTCGACAATGCAACAGCAATAAGAAATAATAAAAGATTAGAATATGAACATAAAGTAAGTGGCCCAGTAGAATAGAATAAACATTTTAGTATAAGTATAATATAGGAAGGCACAATTTATAGTCCAATATTTACACGTCTTTTGGGGAAGGGGGGGATTGGGGGGTAAGTGTTTAAGTTGTGCAGTATGTAGCAAACAGTATTCACCCTGTGACTATGATGTGGTTGTAGCATTGCTGACAGATGCTGAGAGAGAGACTGCAGAACCACTCTTCTCTCGCTGTTTATATGGGCTGCGGCGCTTCTGGTCTTCTCTGATGCTTAGAGAAGCCTTTTATACTTCTCATAAACATTTGTCTTGGCTGCTCTCCGCTTTCTCTTTCGGTCACTGTCTCTTTTTCTCTCTCACCCGCTCTCTTTATTTTTCTTCTTCATCTCCACCCTCCCAATTGGCTTGTGTTGTTATGAGTAAAGTCATCTGAGAAACAGCTGCTGCCTACTGTCTGCTTTCCAAGGCCTTTCAGCAGCACCCTGCTGCACCTCCTCTAAACCCTGCTCCTCTCCTGGCTACAGTGCCTTCAGAGAGTATTCACACCTCTTGACTTTTTCCACATTTTGTTGTGTTACAGCCTGATTTTAAAATTGATTAAATTGAGATTTTGTGTCACTGGCCTACACACAAAACCACAAAAACCAGGGATGTTTTCCAATGTCTCGCAAAAAAGGGCACCTATTGGTAGATAGGTAAAAATAAAAACAATCTGACATTGATATCCCTTTGAGCAGAGAAGTTATTAATTACACTTTGGATGGTGTATTAATACACCCAGTCACTACAAAGATATAGGTGTCCTTCCTAACTCAGTTGCAGGAGAGAAAGGAAACCACTCGGATATTTCACCATGAGGCCAATGATGACTTTAAAGCAGAAATCTGAGGATGGATCAACAACATTGTAGTTACTCCACAATACTAACATAAATTACAGAGTGAAAAGAAGGAAGCCTGTACAGAACAAAAATATTCCAAAACATGCATCATGTGTCAAAGAAATAAACTCTTTGTCCTGAATACAAGCGTTATGTTTGGGGCAAAACTAACAACATATCACTGAGTACCACTCTTCATATTTTCAAGCATGGTGGTGGCTGCATCATGTTATGGGAATGCTTAGTCATTTTGGGGGATAAAAAGAAACAGAATAGAGCTAAGCACAGTCAAAATCCTAGAGGAAAACTTGGTTCAGTCTGCTTTCCAACAGACACTGGGAGACAAATTCACCTTTCAGCAGGACAATTACCTAAAATACAAGGCCAAATATACAGTGCCTTCAGAAAGTATTCATACCAGTTGACTTATTCCACGTTTTGTTGTTACACCCTGAATTCAAAATTTATTAAATTGATTATTTTTTCACATCCATCTACACACAATACCCCAAAATGAAAAAGTTAAAACATGTTTTAGACATTTTTGCAGATGTATTGAAAATAAAATATAGAAATATCTCATTTACAGAAGTATTCACACCCCAGAGTCAATACATGACAGAATCACCTTTGGCAGTGATTACAACTGTGAGTCTTTCTGAGTAAGCCTCTAAGAGACTGGATTGTACAATATTTGCCATTATCTTTTTCAAAATTCTTCAAGCTCTGTCAAATTGGTTGTTGCTCATTGCTAGACAACCATTCTCAAGTCTTGCCATAGATTTTCAAGTAGATTTAAGTCAAAACTGTAACTCAGCCATTCAGGAACATTCACTGTCTTCTTGGTAAGCAACTCCAGTGTAGATTTGGCATTGTGTTTTAGGTTATTGTCCTGCTGAAAGGTGAATTAATCTCCCAGTGTCTGGTAGAAAGCAGACTGAACCAGGTTTTCCTCTAGGATTCTGCCTGTGCATATTAGCATAATTCCATTCAATTTATTTTTTATCCTGTAAAACTCCTCAGTCCTTAATGATTACAAGCATACCCAAAACATGATGCAGACACCACTGTGCTTGAAAATATGGAGAGTGGTACTCAGTAATGTTTGGGCAAATCCAAAATCCAATACAACACATAACACACAAAGTTAATTGTTTGCCACATTTTTTGCAGTATTACTTTAGTGCCTTGTTGCAAACAGGATGCATGTTTTTAGAATATTTTTATTCTGTACAGGCTTCCCTTGTTTCACTCTTTAAATTAGGTAACTACAATGTTGTTGATCCATCCTCAGTTTTCTCCTTTCACAGTCATTAAACTCTAACTGTTTTAAAGTCACCATTGGCTTCCATTGGCCTCATGCATTACTTTTGACCAGAGAACTATGGGCATATATATAGTGCACTATATTGGGAATAGGGTGTCATATGGGATGCATACCAGCTAAACCAGCCCCCACCACCTCCAACTCCACCACCCCAAATCACATCAGGCTATAGCTTCCCTTTTATCTGATCAGGTAGCCTTTAATGAAAGACTCCCCCTGGGTCTTGTCAGGAATGATGGGCTATTGATTCCTCCATTTCCTCCATTAATCTCCAGGTCGATTCCTCCATTCATCTCCAGGTCGTTAAAGGATTTGATGGAAGTCATGAGGCCAACTGTGATTGTTGCTAAACAACAGCACAGAGGTCTTTTGGCAGCAGCACATCAGGCAGATTCTAATGCAAGCCAAGCAGATGAACTCCTAATTCACCAGAAACATTGCATTTCACCTCATTTGGCTACTGGCAATTGCGAACGTCACGATTTGCACAATAAAGAGTGTGCACTGTGCTCTAATGCAGAACTCTCTCTTTCTCTCTCTCTCTCTCTCTCTCTCTCTCTCTCTCTCTCTCTCTCTCTCTCTGTGTATGTATGTGTCCATTATGTGTGTGTGTGTGTGTGTGTGTGTGTGTGTGTGTGTGTGTGTGTGTGTGTGTCCATTATGTGCGTCATCCCAGTCTTTTCAGAACTCAGTGGGTAAAGATGAAGCTGCGCCGGACTCCCTGAAGAGCACCATCTTCTCCAACTTTGACCCTCTGTACAAGTTCCACTCCGGCTTCCTCAGAGAGGTGGAGCAGAGGCTGGCTCTATGGTGAGATGGCATGAAAGGCCATGTACCTCACTGGATGACTATAATCCATCACAATGATACATCTCTTTTATAGTTCAGGCCATTTTTCTTAAAATTTCACTGCACTTAGCCTCGTTTTGTGTTGTCCCCTTAGAAGAAGAACACAGTTGGGGTATGTCATTTTGAATTGGGCTCATTGATCCTGGGGCCTGGTCTTTGTCTAATGAGCAGTATTGACATTCAGTCTGGGAGGCCTCATCACAGAGACGCACCTCCTCCCATGGATGACCCGGGGAGCTGGGGTTTCTATGGCAACAGTCGTGCTGCATCAAGCCACTACTTCTCCTAGCCCGTGGATTTTTCCACTGTCTGCTCCTCTTAATGATGTGGTCCCTACATCAGAGCTACCCCGTGGTGACACACAGATCCCCGGCAGGCAGACTGTCACTGCTACAGACTTCATACTGTAGTGATCAGCATCACATGTCCAGACTTACTACAAGACCAAACAACAGAGAAAGAGGCAGACCTCCAAGCGAGATCTGACTGTTTTCTCTCAAAACATGGCCGACCTCTGGCGTGGCTAAGGCCCCAAAGGCAAATCAGCAGACCAAATACAAAGCACAGATACATGTAGCTGGCTATCTTGTTTTCCGTTTTACATATTTAAATGTGACGTATGGTTGACTTATTTTAGCCCTCTCCTGACTGTTGACCATGGATTTAGATCTGGTAGAGGGTTTTGTCAGTGAAGAGGGGTTGCATCTCAGAGGCTTGACATTCAGAATGACCTTTCTGGGCTTGGACTACTCTCTCCATAATGTATTGGTTCATATTTTGAATGAACAAGCATGGAGAAAGGTCAGTCCGCATGGTGCTATATATAGCCGTCAACTGCAATTCATGCTCAAGGTAGACACCTGCTTGCGGTTTTCAGCAGTGCAGTCAAACGATACTCATTTCACTTGAACGCCATTTAAATTTCCTTGTGTGAGTGTTGGAGCTCACATGAATATGAAATATGGCTTTTAAGTGGCTTTAAGTGCTTAAAATTCCTCTGATGTCCACAACAGAAATCTCTCAGCACACACCCTAGCACTAAACTGTTCCAGAGAGATAAAGTTGCTGATGTTTAATTTTTTATAGGGAAGGGCGCTCCAATGCCCACATCAAAGGAGATTACCAGCGCATCGGTGATGTCATGCTGAAGAATCTACAGGGCCTAAAGGTATTGACATACATTATATATTTTTTACTGCAGCTTTTTCTTGCACTTTTTATAAAATTCACTTTGTATCTGCACCACTCCCATGACCAAATGTATGCTGACTTGTGCAAACTGTGCCGTACATTGCTCCAGGGGCGTTGTTCTGCGGCTGACCCTGTGCTGCCCCTAGCCTGTTGTGCTTGTGTATTTGATATGTCTGTGCAAATGGCCAATAAAGATCTATTCTACTCTACCCTACTCTATTCTAGCCGCTGACCGCCCACCTCCAGAAGCACTCGGAGGCCCTGGTGGAGCTAGAGAAGGCGTGCCGGGGCTCCCGGCGGCTGGAAGTGCTGGTCCGGGACTTTGAGCTGCAGAAGGTGTGCTACATCCCCCTCAACGTGTTCATCCTCAGGCCCCTGCACCGCCTCTTGCATTACAAGCAGATCCTGGAGCGCCTGTGCAAACACTACCCCCCCACACATGTGGATTTCAGGGACTGCAGAGGTAACTGTTACTGTTCTGTACCCGTTAGGACTCTCAGAGGCTGGCTAGCTAGGGCCCCCTGGTGCAGTTGAGGTCTATGACATCACATACTGAGTGTTGTTGTGTCCTCTCCTGTAGCTGCGCTGGCAGACGTGTCAGAGGTGGTGGCCCAGCTCCATGGCAGCATGATCAAGATGGAGAACTTCCAGAAGCTGCTGGAGCTTAAGAAGGATTTGATTGGCATCGACAATCTAGTCACTCCAGGGCGGGTAAGTTCAAGAAGACATCTGGTTGAGTCCCAAATGGCACCCTATTCCCTATATAGTGCACAACCTTTGACCAGGACACAGGGCCCTGGTCAAAAGTAGTGCACTATGGAAGGAATAGGGTGCCATTTGGGACTTGTTCCCATATCAACAGTTTGTAACTTGAGAGTAGCCATTTTGAAGAACTAATTTATTTTATCCATTTTTTTTTTTTTAATCTTTCCCTGAGATATTGTGATTTGAATTTGTTGTGATTTGTGTTTTTCAGGAGTTCATCAGGTTAGGCTGTCTCAGCAAGCTGTCTGGAAAAGGCCTCCAGCAACGAATGTTTTTCCTGGTAATGTCTGCAATGCATCTGAGATGTCATCATGAATGAGTTATTAAACAGATTATTCAGTCTAGTGATCTCACAAGATAGACAGCTATGAAAAGTAGAGCTCTATGTTTAACCTCCCCAGTATGAATGACTTTGTACAAAATGCCTCAAAGAAGATGGCTTCCTTATCTTTCTACACAGCTGTTTACTGTTCTTGAGCCAGTGTCCCTATTTGTTGTTGTAGGGCATCTAATAAGACCAAGACGAATCTGAATCATGATTAATGTTAGAAACAGATTGAAGTCATCCCTCGACTCGAATGTTCTAGGGCTGTTGAAACAGGTGTATCCCAACAGAGCTAATTTATTAACCGAGCCACAAACAATCGTTCAGTGTTCTTTGTGTGAAGTAAATAAATGAGGTTGGTTTAGCTATTAATAACCAGTTAATGATTGCCTTCACTGTTCTCTTGTTCTCTGGTGACAGTTCAATGATGTCCTCTTGTACACAAGTCGAGGGATGACTGCAACGAACCAGTTCAAAGTGCATGGGCAGCTCCTTCTCCATGGCATGACAGTAAGTGACTTCTTCTTTCACCTTTTCTTACCCTCCCACTTGTGCCCTCGCGTGGAGTGCAGCTCAGTAGAAAACAGTATCTGTCACAAGTTTGTAATTACTTACTGTAAATAAACTGCAGTGCCACTGTAACTCCCCTACCATCTGTGTCTCTTTTTTAATTCCCCCATCATCGCTCTCTCCCTGTCCCCCTTTTTCTCTCTCCCGCTCACGCACACGCAGTCCCTCTCTCCCACAAGCAGATTTGTCCTCTCATGCCCCATGTGTTGACTGACTGTGTCTGTGTGTCCCCAGATCCAGGAGAGCGAGGATGAGTGGGGTGTGCCTCACGCCTTCACCCTGGTTGGGCAGCGTCAGTCAGTGGTGGTAGCGGCTAGGTGAGTCTTTGGTCCGAACTCAGAACGAGCTAGGCTATTGGGTAGTCGGTCAACAGATGCCAACAATAGGCGTACAGGGATGTGTGTGTTCATGTTTGCTCTGGTATGAATAAAGTGGTCGGTATTCAGAATAAAGTGGTTGGTGAATCAGCAGGCGACCGTTCCCCTCAGCAGCAGAGTCAACAGTAAGGCATTTGTCTAATCACAAGGACGCATTCATTATTTATACAGCACACTTGGTCATAAAAATAACTGCATTCAATATTTATCAGGTCAAGCCCAGCACTGGTGAAAAAACTTTTTTATTTTTGTCTGTTGTGTTCATACAGTAGTACCCAGTATGTCCGGCTTGAGCAGCTGTGCATTTATCTCTCTCTCTCTCTCTCTCTCTCTCCCCACCCCTCTCTCTCTCCCTCTCTTTCTCTCTTTCACTTTATCTCCCCCTCCCCCCTCCAGTTCCTTGTCAGAGATGGAGAAGTGGATGGAGGACATTAAGATGGCCATTGACTTGGCAGAGACCAGCAACGGCCATACATCTGACCTGCTGGCCAGAAGTCTGACTGATAACAGTAAGTTGGCACAGACGGACACTGATACTGCAGTGCACAGACTTTAGAGCATGGGCATTGGGCATGCCATATGGAAAAACTAGTAATGTATCCAAGAATCATCCAACCCGATGAGTTATTGCTGAATTCTCCTCGCACTGTTCCGTCAATGCACAGACAGTTGGTACTCTTCTAGAAACTTCAGAGCCAGAATGGGCCAACCTATAAATATGCAATGAGCTTGAATAGCTCAAATACAATGCTTCAAATTGATGGTTTAGAAAGCATTGATTGAAATTATTTTCCAAATTATTTTATACAGCCTGTCTGCATGTATTTACAAACCTAGCCAATATGAAGTATTGTGATACTATTTATCTCATCAGGTTTTACAGTAGGATCCGTCTTCCCACGTTGTCATAGTGTGTATGTGGAATTAACCGCTTCCTGAATTTCCCAGAATCCCCAACAGAGGACTCCTGTGCGGAGGCGGAGTCTGAGGACGACCTGATGGCGTCACGCACCTCCCTGGAGAGGCAGACCCCTCACCGTGGTAACACCACGGTGCACGTGTGCTGGCACAGGAACACCAGCGTGTCTATGGTGGACTTTAGTGTAGCTGTGGAGGTACCACAACCAGTCCTAACATGTCCTGCTCTGCCCTCCCCTCCCCAACTCTCTCTCTCTCACTGTGTATCTGAGTGTGTATCTGTTTCCTCTCCTTATTTAATGTGCTTCTCTCCCCTGGGAACAATGTCCTCCCGTGCCACCCTCTCTCCCTCTGTCCTGTGCTATTTAGATATTATATTACCTCAGTGCTTTGTCCCCAAGCTGTTGGCACTCTCTCTTCTGTGAACTGCTACATAGGACACTCAGCAGGATGTCATAGATGTTTTTCAGTCTTGAACAGCACATCTCAGTGCAGCTGAGACAGCATCTACAAGCTGTTTATTTTCTCTGATATGTTCTATACTGAGCTCAAAGCAGATCAGACATTAGCATGAGGTGGGTGCACTGCAAGGACACTGTTCTCATCTTGCCCTCTGCGGCTAACTCTTCCGGTGTGGTTTTCTTATCTAATCTCTACTGTGGCTGTCCCATGTGGTTTTGCGCTCCTTTTTTCTCTCCTTCAGAGTCTTTGCCCTGGACTCACCGATAGCCCCCGTATTTATCCCTAGCAGGGCATGCGTGTGTTTACACCTTCTCAGTCTTTGTGTCTCTGTCCTTTCCTTCCTCCCTCCCTCTCTCTTTCCTGTCTGTCTCTTCTGTGTGTCCGTCTGTCTGTCCTCCGTGGTAGAGGACCCTAGTCCAGTCAGTGACTCAGAGGCCTCCCTCTCGGGGCCCTTGGGGCCCAGCAGTGGCCAGGGCCAGGGACCAGTGCCTCTGTCTCTTATCTGCTGGTATCGAGTTCACAGCCTCTCCTTTAGTGATTCCTGCAGGAGTCTAGAGGTAAAGGAGCCAGGGAGAGAGGAGAGGCCTCCCCATCGCATTGTAGCATTACTGTCATATACTATCACTTTGTATCTTCTTTGAGGTCATTGGCGAAAAGTTTAACGCTTTTGTGTAACACTTTTCACTTGTAAAGACCTACAATGAACTAAAATAAGTTAGTGGTAGCCTACAATGATGGCTCAGTTTACAGTAAATGCTTTATATTACCACTAGATGGCAGTTGTTCGCTGTGACCATAGAGGTCGCTGTTAGTTCAGTGACTTTAAACTGTTGCTGGATGGACCCCAGGATAGAGAGTCTGTTTATAGCTGTACTTACCTCAGACAAACCACTGTAGTGAACAGAGGCCCCAGGCTTAATCACAGTTGGTTTATTTTCAGAGCTTACAGTGCAGCACACACTGTTCCTTATACACTAATATACAGTGCCTTCAGACAATATTCATACCCCTTGACTTATTCCACATTTTGTTGTGTTACAGCCTAAATGGATTAAATCGTTTTTTTTTTCTCACACATCTACACACAATATCCCATAATGACAAAGTCAAAACATGTTTTTAGAAATTATTGAACATTTATTGAAAATGAAATACCGAAATATCTCATTTACATACAGTACCAGTCAAAAATACCAGTCAAAAGTTTGGACACACCTACTCATTCAAGGGTTTTTCTTTATGTTTACTATTTTCTACATTGTAGAATAATAGTGAAGACATCAAAACTATGAAATAACACATATGGAATCATGTAGTAAGCAAAAAGTGTTAAACAAGTCAAAATATATTTTATATTTGAGATTCTTCAAAGAGATTCTTCAAATAGCCACTTTCTTGGTTACTACTTGATCCATATGTGTTATTTCATAGTTTTGATGTCTTCACTATTATTCTACAATGTAAAAAATAAAGAAAAACCCTTGAATGAGTAGGTGTGTGCTAACTTTTGACTGGTAGTGTAAGTATTCACACCCCTGAGTCAATGCATGTTAGAATCACCTTTGGCAGCGATTTAAAGCTATGAGTCTTTATGGGGAAGTCTCTCAGAGCTTTGCACACCTGGATTGTATAATATTTGCACATTATTCTTTTTAAAAATTATTCAAGCTCTGTCAAGTTGGTTGTTGATCATTGCTAGACAGCCATTTTCAAGTCTTTGCACAGTCAAAACTGTAACAAGGCCACTCAGGAATATTCAATGTCTTCTTGGTAAGCAACTCCAGTGTATATTTGGCCTTATGTTTTAGGTTATTGTCCTGCTGAAAGGTGAATATGTCTCCCAGTGTCTGTTGGAAAGGAGACTGAACCAGGATTACCTCTAGGATTTTGACTAAGCTTAGCTCTATTCCGTTTCTTTTTATCTTGTAAAACTCCCTAGTCTTTGCCAATGACAAGCATATCCATAACATGATGCAGCCACCACCATGCTTGGAAATATAAAGAGTGGTACTCAATGATGTGTTGTGTTGGAGTTTACCCAAACATAACACCTTGTATTCAGGACATACATTTCATTTATTTGCCACATGTTTTGCAGTTTGCCATGTTGCACACAGGATGCATGTTTTGGAATATTTTTTATCTGTACGGGCTTCCTTCTTTTCGCTCTGTCATTTAGGTCAGTATTGTGGAGTAACTACAATGTTGTTGATCCATCCACAGTTCTCCTATCACAGCCATTAAACTCTGTAACTGTTTTAAAGTCACCATTGGCCTCATGGTGAAATCCATGAGAGGTTTCGTTCCTCTCCGGCAACTGAGTTAGGAAGAACACCTGTATCTTTGTAGTGACTGGGTGTATTGATATACCATCCAAAGTGTAATTAATACCTTCACCATGCTCAAACGGATATGTGCTACCAATAGGTGCCCTTCTTTGCGAACCATTGGAAAACCTCCCTGGGTTTTGTGGTTGAATCTGTGTTTGAAATTCATTGCTCAACTGAGGGACCTTACGTATACTTGTATGTGTGGGGTATAGAGATGAGGTAGTCATTCAAAAATCATGTTAAACACTATTATTGCACACAAAGTAAGTCCATGCAACTTATGTGACTTGTTAATCTTTACTCCTGAAATTATTTCCTGAACTTATTTAGGCAAGCCACAACAAAGGGGATGAATACTTATTGACTCAAGACATTTCAGCTTTCCATGTTTAATACATTTGTAAACATTTCTAAAAACGTAATTCCACTTTGACATTATGGGGTATTGTGTGTAGTAGGCCAGTGGCAAAACATCTCAATTTAATCCATTTTAAATTCAGGCTGTAACACAACAAAATGTGGAAAAGGTCAAGGGGTGTGAATAGTTTCAGAAGGCGCTGTAAGTGTTTGTTGAAATTCCCTCTACTTGTTTTTATTTTTGTCATGTCATTTTTATATGTAGTACGTGAACAAAGTTCATTGATTGTAAATTGTTTTTCTACTGTAGAATCAGTTGTCAGGAAACCTGCTGAGGAAGTTCAAGAACAGCAATGGCTGGCAGAAGCTCTGGGTGGTCTTCACCAACTTCAGCCTGTTCTTCTACAAGACCCACCAGGTGAGGGCTAGCACCATCTCCTCGTGTCCGTGTTTGTCTGTCTGTGTAGACCATGGCCCGTATTCACAAAGCATCTCAGAGTAGGATTGCTGATCTACGATCAGGTCCCCCTTGTCCATGTAATCTTACTAATTATGATCTAAAAGGCAAAACTGATCCAAAGTCAGCACTTTTAAGATGCTTGATACATATGGTACCAGAACGACAGCAATGTGTTCTGGGGAAGAAGACACTCACCTCTCTCCCGCTCCTTATGATACGTGGCGCTGGAGGGGATGGCTGCCGTTTTATGGACTCTTCGTGTTTTTTTGTATTGTTTGTAACTTATTTTGTACATAATGTTGCTGCTACCGTCACTTATGACCGAAAAGAGCTTCTGGACATCAGAACAGCGATTACTCACCTTGAACTGGACGAAGAATGTTGCTGCTACCGTCTCTTATGACCGAAAAGAGCTTCTGGACATCAGAACATCGATTACTCACCTTGATTAATTTTTCTATAATGAGTCGGACGAGAGGGATTTGCTCCAGACACCCGACAGGGCCCTCATCCCCTTCATTCGCAGTTTACCTTCGATACTATTGGCCAATTTACAATCGCTTGATAATAAAGTGGACGAACTACAGGCACGAATATCCTACCAACGGACATTAAAAACTGTAGTATCTTATGTTCCACGGAGTCGTGGCTGAACGAAGACATGAATAACATACAGCTGGCAGGTTATACACTGTATCGGCAGGATAGAACAGCAGCCTCTGGTAAGACAAGGGGTGGTGGTCTATGTATATTTGTAAACAAAAGCTGGTGCACAATATCTAAGGAAGTCTCGAGGTTTTGCTCGCCTGAGGTAGAGTATTTCATGATAAGCTGTAGACCACACTACCTACCAAGAGAGTTTTCATCTATATTCTTCGTAGCTGTCTATTTACCACCACAAACCGATGCTGGCACTAAGACCACACTCAATTAACTGTATACGGCCATAAGCAAACAGGAAAACGCTCATCCAGAGGCGGCGCTCCTAGTGGCCGGGGACGTTAATGCAGGGAAACGTATCTGTTTTTGCCTCATTTCTACCAGCATGTTAAATGTGCAACCAGAGGGGAAAAAACTCTAGACCACCTTTACTCCACACACAGAGACACGTACAAAGCTCTCCCTCGCTCTCCATTTGGCAAATCTGACCATAATTATATCCTCCTGATTCCTGCTTACAAGCAAAAACTAAAGCAGGAAGCACCAGTGACTCGGTCAATAAAAAAGTGGTCAGATGAAGCAGATGCTAAGCTACAGGACTGTTTTGCTAGCACAGACTGGAATATGTTCCGGGATTCTTCTGATGGCATTGAGGAGTACACCACATCAGTCACTGGCTTCATCAATAAGTGCATCGATGACGTCGTCCCCACAGTGACTATACGTACATACCCCAATCAGAAGCCATGGATTACAGGCAACATTCGCACTGAGCTAAAGGGTAGAGCTGCCGCTTTCAAGGAGCGGGACTCTAACCCGGAAGCTTATAAGAAATCCCGCTATGCCCTCCAACGAACCATCAAACAGGCAAAGTGTCAATACAGGACTAAGATCAAATCGTACTACACCGGCTCCGACGCTCGTCGGATGTGGCAGGGCTTGCAAACTATTACAGACTACAAAGGGAAGCACAGCCGAGAGCTGCCCAGTGACACGAGCCTACCAAACGAGCTAAATTACTTCTATGCTCGCTTCGAGGCAAGTAACACTGAAACATGCATGAGAGCATCAGCTGTTTCGGACGACTATGTGATCACGCTCTCCGTAGCCGATGTGAGTAAGACCTTTAATCTGGTCAACATTCACAAGGCGCAGGGCCAGACGGATTACCAGGACGTGTACTCCGAGCATGCACTGACCAACTGGCAAGTGTCTTCACTGACATTTTCAACATGTCCCTGTCTGAGTCTGAAATACCAACATCTTTCAAGCAGACCACCATAGTCCCTGTGCCCAAGAACACTAAGGTAACCTGCCTAAATGACTACCGACCCGTAGCACTCACATCTGTAGCCATGAAGTGCTTTGAAAGACTGGTCATGGCTCACATCAACACCATTCTCCCAGAAACCCTAGACCCACTCTAATTTGCATACCGCACCAACAGATCCACAGATGATGCAATCTCTATTGCGCTCCACACTGCCCTTTCACACCTGGACAAAAGGAACACCTATGTGAGAATGCTATTCATTGACTACAGCTCAGCGTTCAACACCATAGTTCCCTCAAAGCTCATCACTAAGCTAAGGACCCAGGGACTAAACACCTCCCTCTGCAACTGGATCCTGGACTTCCTGACGGGCCGCCCCCAGGTGGTAACGGTAGGTAACAACACATCCGCCACACTGATCCTCAACACGGCGGCCCCTCAGGGGTGCGTGCTCAGTCCCCTCCTGTACTCCCTGTACACTCATGTCTGCATGGCCAGGCACGACTCCAACACCATCATTGCCGATGACACAACAGTGGTAGGCCTGATCACCGACAATGACGAGACAGCCTATAGGTAGGAGGTCAGAGACCTGGCCATGTGGTGCCAGGACAACAACCTCTCCCTCAATGTGATCAAGACAAAGGAGATGATTGTGGACTACAGGAAAAAGAAGAGGACCGAGCACGCCCCCATTGTCATCGAAGGAGCTGTAGTGGAGCAGGTTGAGAGCTTCAAGTTCCTTGGTGTCCACATCACCAACAAACTAACATGGTCCAAGCACACCAAGACAGTCATGAAGAGGGCACGACAAAACCTATTCCCCCTAAGGAGACTGAAAAGATTTGGCATGGGTCCTCAGATCCTCAAAAGGTTCTACAGCTGCACCATCAAGAGCATCCTGACTGGTTGCATCCCTGCCTGGTATGGCAACTGCACGGCCTCCGGCCGCAAGGCACTACAGAGGGTATTGCGTACGGCCCAGTACATCACTGTGGCCAAACTTCCTGCCATCCAGGACCTCTATACCAGGCGGTGTCAGAGGAAGGCCCTCAAAATTGTCAAAGACTCCAGCCACCCTAGTCATAGACTGTTCTCTCTGCTACCGCACGGCAAGCGGTACCGGAGCGCCAAGTCTAGGTCCAAGAGGCTTCTAAACAGCTTCTACCCCCAAGCCATAAGACTCCTGAACATCTAATCAAATGGCTACCCAGACTATTTGCATTGCTCCCCCCCCCCCCTCCCCCCCCCCCTCTTTTACGCTGCTGCTACTCTCTGTTCATTATCTACGCATAGTCACTTTAATAACTCTACCTACATGTACATATTACCTCAATTACCTCGACTAACCGGTGCCCCCGCACCTTGACTCGGTATATAGCCTCGCTATTGTTATTTTTACTGCTGCTCTTTAATTATTTGTTACTTTTATTTTGTATTATTTTATATAGTATTCTTTTGTGATTTTTTGGGGGGGGGGGTATTCTTTCTTAAAACTGCATTGTTGGTTAAGGGCTTGTAAGTACGCATTTCACTGTAAGGTCTACACCTGTTGTATTCAACGCATAAAATGTGATTTGATTTTATGCATGTCTGTGAAGGCCAGAAGCACAGCAGTGTGTGCTGGGGCAGACCCCCTACCCTCTTCCTGCTCATGATCCATGATCTTCAACATGGTACACTCTAAGAATATCCCATTCATTTAAGATATCCCATCTCTCTGTGGAATTTCAAATCCATGTGCCATGGAAGGGAGTTATGCACATCCCCATGCCAGTTCATCTGCTCTCACTTTCGGCACAGCTCTCCTGAATCCAGTAGAATCACCACACTGAAACCAGTGTTAGTTATGCGATAGTTAGTTACTCATGTTTTGTCACAAATTCTGTGACCTGTAGCCATGGGGCATTTTCCCTGATTTTAAAATGCGCCATGAAAGTATAATAGTGTTATCAAGTATATTTGTAGTGAAAGTGAGTAGCTCCTTGAAATTCAGATTGCTTGACTGTTTGGTCCTTTCCCTTCTCTCCAGGATGACTATCCTCTGGCCAGTCTCCCCCTGTTGGGCTACTCTGTCACCATACCCACTGAGTCTGAAAACATCCACAAGGACTATGTCTTCAAACTGCATTTCAAATCCCATGTCTACTACTTCAGATCTGAGAGCGAGTACACCTTTGAGAGGTACAGTACACTTCTGTCTATCCTGTATTGTGTACAGTATATAGTATGTTTGTTTACAGATGTTACTGGGCAGTGTGAAACCCTCTGTCTCTTTCTCTCCATACAGGTGGATGGAGGTCATTCGCAGTGCCACAGTCTCTGCCAGCAGCACCCGCATTTTGAGCCGGAAAGAGCCCCATCCGTACTGATCCAAAGAGCAAGGGCTCTCTCCCTGTCTCCATGCCTCTTCTCCCTACCACAACCTCCCATAGGGTCTGGCCACATCTAGCCTTCCTTCACACTACGACTCCCCAAGCAGCAAGCTGAAGCAGAGCCCCACTGGTGCCACATTCACTTCACTTCTCTGGACTCTCTTGATTTCCTTTTCTACACATATCTGGGACATATGTACATTGAGCAGTGTCCATGCACAATCTTGGTGCTTTTTAATGCTTTAATGGTGACATGTCCGCTGGTTTAGACTGCATCAGAGACTGCATTTTCAGCATTTTTACTCAGCTCTGAACCTCTTTTTGTAGGACGCCATTTTATACTGTTTTCTAACGGGCTGAATCACTTACTGTACTTCTGGTTTCACATTCTGTCATTGGATTGTTTTTATGGTGGAAACATGTTAATATAGAGAATGCATTTTTAAACTTGTTTTTTTCATAGATGGTTAGAATATCACTGCATCCTCAAGATTTTTGTCTCCTTGTTTATTTTATGGGGGAAAACAAAAAATAAAAAAAATAAAAAGTGCCAAACGGTTTTATCATTGTCCTAGACTTTAATGCAATTTTACTAAATTGGTGGTGAGGAGACTTGAAATGTGTTGTAAAAAAAGGCCACTTTAAATTACTTTTTTCTTTTAATAAGATGTCTCTGGACAGTGAGAGACCTTGTGATAAGTAAAATATCAGAATATTTTGTTGTATCATTGACATAACTCTAGAACTACTTATAAAGCTATCAGGGTAGTTACCATCATCACTAACGCCATTATTCAAGTAAAGTGAATATTCCTGTTATGCTTTGTTGTATGGATACTTCAGAGGGTGTTCTGAAGACTATTATATTCCACCCTCAATTGTGTGAGAAATGTGAGATGTTCATAATCTGTGTATTATGAAGGAAACTGTAATGGAAAGCTTTAAAGAATATGTGTGAAACAAAATATAAACTTTCAGTTCCAAGCACCATTGCCCTTGTTGGTCTAGGCTGCCTCCCATATGTAAAGAGTCCTTTACAAGTCTACATTAAATGGATATATGCATATGACAGAGAGGGAAAACTTTGGTTTTCCTTATTGAGGGAATGCTGTGTTTTCCCAGACAACAGAGAGCGCTTTGGAAATGAAAGCAATAAAAACCTAATTTGAACATTGTATTGTGGGTTCTTTGCTAGTCAATAATAGCTAACAGAGGTGTGATTGCCCATGGAATGTTTTTGACCACTTTCACCTCAATGCACTGTACAAGAAAATTTACATTTTGTTTCTTGTATTCCTATAGATGGCATCATTGCTCAATAACATAAGACCTGTGCGATTGTGCTAGTCACATACTGGGCCGAAGTTATTGCATAATTTTCATCTGATGAAAGAATTCTACGTAGTCCTCCTAAAAACAACTTGGTCATTCCCATTAGGTCTTAAATGTCACATTTGTTGTGTGCAGTACTTTACTGTATTTGAATTATGCACGTTTAATAGTTGTTCTAAATTAATTGAACAATAATTTCCACTATGGTGACAGACATTGCATTGTATCGTCTCTACTTTTCACGTTACATGTCGATAAAAACAGTTTATTGAATATTATTGTAACAATGATTACAGTGCAGTCATAGCATGCTCATATCGAAACTGGAGTGGGCAGGCCTTTGTAAATCACTGGAGAAGGGAGGAGTGGAGAAATACCGTAGAACGACGTACGCAGATTACGCATTCTGGCTGGCGTAGCATGTACACCGACCATAAGGGAGTACGACGAGGGACTGCGGTAATGAGCCGGTGACCGCGCGTTAGAATGGTTTATTATGACAACAACAACTCAGCGGGGGAATGTAACAGCTGCGGGATAATACAATACAACTTTCACTAGTAATTGGTGCAAATTATGAGATCAAAAAGGCAGATTGAACCAGCACAACATGATCCAGTTTTAAACTCGAGGTGCGCACTAGTGCCGACGGAGAAACGGATAAACCGGCTGATGATTCAGTTTTTACTCTTCTTTGACGTTTTATAAATTCCTAAAGAAATTGATGAAAGGCAGGACTCGACAATGTCAGTTCCAGTACATCCGGAGACCAGGAAATTTACAAGGGGACTAAGTAAACCTGGCACTGCGGCTGAACTAAGGCAAAGTGTATCTGAGGTTGTCAGGACCTCCGTGCTTGTTGTAAGTACACTACATAATTTCCCTCCTCTTCTAAACCTCTGTTTGCTATTGTGCCTTGTGTGTTGTTACTTTCTAGTCCGTCGAGGTGTGCGACCATCGTCACCCAACTTCGAGGTCAGCAGGTGCAACACTATGATAATTATACTCAATGTAGCCCAATAAAATCTGTATCACATTTTTTACAAGTAGGCCTACTTCAAAGCATTAAATTATGCATTCCATGTTGGGAGTTTACCTATTATTTGACTTGGTTTACCTGTTAATTGTTTAGGCCTCCATGCCTCTATCATTGATTAAATATGTAAATGAGATGCACACCGCAGCAATGGTAGGCCTATACATGAATTATCATGGATATGAATAATCCTGTACATTTGTTTTTGAACCTGCAATATGTAACTTTTGGGATGGGATGCACAACATGTCGGTATTAGCACACTGTATTCAATAGGCCACCATATTGTCCCCTCAGGTCAACATATTTGCATGATACAAGGAAAAATTTAATTTTAGTCCTTAACTAAAACCCATTCATGTGTATATGTAATTTTTTATTTTTTTTTCATTGCTTTTAGAAATGACAATTTATATAATGACCAAATACATGTTATGAATCTCTGCCTCATAGGATATTTATCAGTGAGGTAGTCTGTTAATAGAAAGGCTCTCAGAGAGGCACCACATTACAAAGGGATGTATTTGGCATCAATTTCATGGTCGGTATCCCAGACAGTATCAGGTGGCATTTGTCTAATGATGAATTTGACCATCCAGTTTGGAACATTTGGGCAATGGGTCCTGTGATATCACAATATCAATTTTGCAAAGGCTCTGGGGAGAAAGGAGTTGACCCTTTTGTGTGTGTGTGTGTGTACTGTGTTTGGTGTGGTGTTTGGAGTGATTGTTCCAACTTTCCTAGAAGAAGTTGCTAGGTAACAGAAACGGACACCTTCCAGGCTCTCTGTCAGGGAAATGGAATCCTGACTCAAGATCCCAGACGCACAACCACACCTTCATATTATTTATTCATTTTCTCTCATGGAACCAAGCCAGAGGATTCTGGAGGAGACTAGGGATATGCAAAATAATGCATTTTAGAAGGAAACCATTGTGAATATGAATGAATAAGAACAACTCCCAAGTTCAATGACCAACATATGGTGAATGGTAGGAAGCATGAAGCTGGAAGTATAGCTCTGTTGTTCTGGTGGAGCCCCTCAGTGGAGTGAGACAGGAATGTGATTGTACACAAGATCATCATCCCCACACACACACATGGCTTGTCATTCATTCCTCCATGAAACATGTAAATACCCTTGGAGAGGAAGAAGGATCTCTTTCAGCGACATGAAGGGGAGATTGTGACGGATCCCCCCATCGTGGACGATTGTATTTCAGTCTGCATTGAAACACAAATGTATTGTATTCTTTCTGTCTGAAAGATTGTAATCTAAATACCCACTAAGAAGTCATAATGAACTGAATAGATCCTCTTTGGTCAGTAGATATTGTATTACTCAAACTGATCATGGATCAAATGCAAAAGTTAGATTTCAGAGGCAAATACTGTTCCACTGATTAGCCAGTTTATGTGATGTTTCTGAGAGGACACACTGGGCAGAGCCCCTTTGTTTATTGTTGGAATAAAGGGACGTGCCAGTGGACAGTGCTCATAGCTGAGATGTCCCTCTATTTCTCCATGCACGCTCAGAGCAGAGCCAGATCTCTCTTTGTGAATACCATTAGAACCATAATGGCAGTCATCAGATTTAAATTTGTTGTGCTGCTGGTTGTGGTCGTGCCAGCAACTCCAAAGTCTGCCTTTGAAACAGAACAGGACTTAGCACTCTCTCTCTCCCCCTTATTACATTAGAACAGAAATGCATTGGCTACATTAGAGAAGATTCCTCTAAATTAAAAGACTCTGTATTATAGCTCTGCTTTCCTTGTTTGGAAAGGTGTGGAAACTAACACATCGATGGCAGTTGGATATGATCTGTTAATGCACAAGTGCTAGAAAGCAGCTGAGGGCAGTTTTCTAATTACAATCAATAGTCCATGTTGGATTTCAGCTAATGGTGATAAACTTAGATCCTCACTGGCCCTGCTGCTGGTGGGAATTTAGGGGATTGTAAATCAGGAGGGATGTCATTACACACATACTCCAGGCCTGTCACATGGTCCAGGGGCCTGTGTGAAAGACCAATTAAGACACTTGTGTAATATCTGTGTAGCCAAGGCCCTTGGAGCCTTGCGTGGGCCACTTTGTTTGTCTCGGAGGGAGATGGAGAAATCAGATGTCCCATAAACTGTTTGGCAGGAGGCGCAGCAGAGCATTTCATGTCTCAATCAAACAAAATGTGGGTTTATATTATAATAATAATAATAATAATAATAATAATATATGCCATTTTTAAAATATGTCTAGTGAGAATCTACAGTATATTTTCTGTTTACACTAGCCTTGGATGTGGTGTTGCCAAAGCCACATCCCTGCTTCATGTGTGAGTGCAGCTATTGGTATACCGTAAATACCATAGTATACAGACAAACAAAATAAGGATAGCAATTCAAACTATACAGGAGCTTCTCATCTAAACCATATCGCACATAGTGTTGCATACTTGTTTAATGCAATGATTCACAAATGTGTGGATATTTAAAAAGCCTTTAATTTTCAATTTGGCTAAAGGAGCAAAAATGCTCTATACTGGTATTAAGGAAATTCCGGTAATTATTTTGGGGACATGTGGTGTAGATGTCTTCATGAGATTTTAATCTAGATCTGTCTCTTTACACTACACAAGTACATTGTCTTCAGAAAGTATTCAGACCCTTCGATTGATTCCACATTTTGTTGTTTTACAGCCGGAATTCAAAATGAATGAAATATTATTATTTTTTTCTCACCCATCTACACACGATACCCCATAATGACAAAGTGAACACATGATTTTAGAAATGTTTGCACATTTATTGAAAATTAAATGCAGAAATATGCATTTACATAAGTATTCACACCCCTGAGTCAATACTTTGTAGAAGCACCTTTGGTGGCGATTACAGCTGTGAGTCTTTTTGGGTAAGTCTCTAAGAGCTTTGCACACCTGGATTGTACAATATTTGGCCATTATTCTTTTGAAAATTCTTCAAGCTCTGTCAAGTTGATTGTTGATCATTACTAGACAGCCATTTTCAAGTCTTGCCATAGATTTTCAAGCAGATTTAAGTAAAAACTGTAACTAGGCCACTCATTGTCATCTTGATAAGCAACTCCAATGTAGATTTGGCCTTGTGTTTTAAGTTATTTTCCTGCTGAAAGGTGAATTCGTCTTCCAGTGTCTGTTGGAAAGGAGACTGAACCAGGTTTTCCTCTAGGATTTTGCCTTATAGCTGTATTCCATTTATTTTTATCCTGAAAAACGTCCCTAGTCTTTGCCGATGACAAGCATACCCATAACATAATGCAGCCACCACCATGCTTGAAAATATGAAGAGTGGTACAGTTGCATTTGCCCCAAACATAACGCTTTGTATTCAGGACATAAAGTTCATTTCTTTGACACATTTTTTGCAGTATTACTAAAGTGCTTTTTTCCAAACAACAGGATGCGTTTTTTCACTCAGTCATTTAGGTTAGTATTGTGGAGTAACTACAATGTTGTTGATCCATCCTCAGTTTTCTCCTATCACAACCATTCTACTCTGTAACTGTTTTAAAATCACCATTGGCATCATGGTGAAATCCCTGAGCAGTTTCCTTCCTCTCCAGCAACTGAGTTTGGAAGGATGCTTGTATCTTTGTAGTGACTAGGTGTATTGATACACCATCCAAAGCCTAATTAATAACTTCACCCTGCTCAAAGGTATATTCGTCTCCTTTGCTTTTTTTTTTTACCCATCTACCAGTCGGTGCCCCTCTTTGTGAGGCATTGGAAAACCTCCATGATCTTTGTGGTTGAATCTGTGCTTGAAATTC